TCAGTGAGTTATATTAATATTGTTTGAAAAAAATCATTTTGCACTGAGTTATAATAATAAGCATTTATTGTTTAGGGCTGAGTTTCAATTCATCAAATATGCCAGTGAACATAGTGCACCAAGTGACAGTGAAAAACAAAAGCTATTACTTCCTACAAGTACTAAAATCCAAGAGATCCAAGCACTAAGAGAGAAAAATCGTGGGTCTCCATTTTTCAATCATCTTAGTGCCATCAGTGAAAGTATACCTGCATTAGGTTGGGTTGCTGTGGTGAGAAATTCACTATTCATTCCGAATTGTTACATCCAATTTCAAAAAAACATATTTATGTAGTTTCAAGTTAGGATAAGTTTTTTAAGGTTAGCCATTACATTAAATTTGTTTTATCATGTTAACACTATTCAATGTATTCCCATTACATGTTCCCTAGACTTGGCTGCCTACTATTTTTTTTATTTGAGTGTACATAACAGATACTGCTTATATACCTCCCCTTCCAAAAGATATTTATGAACTGAAAACTGAAGAAATGCATTACAGATGCAATCAACAGGTTTATTAGGAGTTTGGCTATTGCTTAAATACCTATGCTCCTTGTAAATAATGTTGGCCACATTAAACATTTTTAAATATTGTGACAGAATTTTAGTGTAATTCCTAACCTTTAAAAGTTATCCTAAATTGTAATTTTTTTTTTGAAATCTGATGATTCAATTGCTTGTATTATATATTTCTAAATTATAAGCATTTTTGTTCTAACTTTTAGTCTCCTACCCCTGCTCCATATGTTAAAGAAAGCAATGATACTGGTCAATTTTACACAAACCGTGTGCTTAAAGAATGGAAAGAAAAGTATTTACCACAAATTTGTTAAATTAATTATTAGTATTTAATATCTGAAAATCCTAACTTAGGAACAAAACTCATGTTGAGTGGGCAAGAACTTGGGTTCAACTTTTAGTTGATCTTCAAGCATATGTCAAACAACACCATACAACTGGACTGGTTTGGGCCAAAGCTGGAACAAAACCATCCGGAGGTCCACCACCCCCACCACCACCATGCGGATTACCACCAATGGATGATTTATGTTTAGCCCCTGCTGATCCAGATGCTACTAACCGTTCAGCCTTATTTGCAGAAATAAATCGCGGTGCTGATGTCACTAAAAGTAAATATCATTATTGTTAAGTTTTGTTTATTTATCATTAATATATTTGTTTTTAGGCTTGAAAAAAGTATCTTCTGATATGCAAACCCACAAAAATCCTAGTATGAGAGCCAGTGGACCAGCCCCTGCTGTAATTGGTAATTCATCTGGTGTGTCAGCATCTAAACCAGCTGTTGAAAAACCTCCAGTGTTTGCTCGTGATGGTAAAAAGTGGCTTGTTGAAAACCAAAAGAACAATACTAATCTGGTGGTTGATGGTGCTGAAATGAATAATGTAGTGTACATATTTAAGTGTGTAAACTCCACAATCACTGTCAAAAACAAAATCAATTCAATCGTTATGGATTCTTGTAAAAAATCATCCGTGGTATTTGAATCATTAGTCTCATCTGCTGAGTTTATTAATTGTCAGTCAGTTCAAATGCAAGTACTGGGTAAAGTGCCAACAATCACTATCGATAAAACAGATGGCTGCCAAATGTATTTAAGCAAGGATTCTTTGACTACTGAAATTGTTACATCCAAATCATCTGAATTGAACGTAATGGTTCCTAAAGCAGATGGAGATTATTCTGAATATCCAATACCTGAACAATTTAAGATAACAATTGGACCAAAAGGTCTTAATACTGTTGTTATTGAAGCTTCTGGGTAAACATTTACTCACTTGTTCAGTTCAACTTAGAATTTTGAACTTATTCGGCATTTATTTATATAGATTTGGAGTGAAAAATATTTATTTTGATGTTTATATTTAAAATTTAAAAACTAATTTCATCATTCAATGTATACATACATTTATAAAAAATAATATTGAGTTAAACTACATTTTTTTTATCGCAAACTGTATTAAATCTAATGAAATAATAAGTGAGTCATAAAAACATTTTTAATGGTCCAAAATTGTCATAGAAATATTTGATTCATACATTTTAAAGTTAAAATAATTTAACATTATGTCCTGCTCATCACTATAAATAATGCTCATATTTTTTACATTACTATTAACCCGTTTTTTACAAAATATATATGAATTAATTAATGAAGTAACTGTAATTAACTTTATAAATTCCTCTTATGGTTAATAGATTATTTGAAACAAATTGATTGTGATAATTTTTATATAAAAGAAAAAAATACTTATATTATTATATTAAGTATAATTCTGGTATTTTAATTTAAATTATTACTGATGATCATTGAAATTTGATGGTACTCTTATATTTATTTATTTATTTATTCATCAATATAATTTATACAACAATAATATTATAGCTTTTTTATTATTTATCACATTTATAACCTAATTTATAAATTGGTTTTGTGTATTTATTTGTATTACTCTGAGAAACTACTAACTTACAACTAAAAGTGGAAATCACAATTTTATTAAAAAAACATTATTTTTTTTCAAATTAACTACATTAATGTAAATAGATAAACAATGCATTTTAAAGAATTGAATATTGTGGTTTTCATTAAGACATTTTTATATATTATATTCTATCTTTACACAAGAAAATAAATAAATATTTAAAAAATAATTGTTTTCTTTTTTTCATTACTAGTTATACGTTATACTCGATATTACTGATATTAGCTATGAGATAATTTGAACTAGTTGTAATTTCTGAGTCTTGTAGAGTTTTTAAGATACAACAGCAATACATGTATTTTTAGGTATAGAAAATGATTGTTAAACTTGTGTTATGCTTTTAGTTGTACATAACTACAGCTTTTAGTGAAATAAATTAACTTTTAGTGTTAAGTAATAAGACTTGATGTTTTAAAATATAAAAATGTTTGTAATAAATTCAATTAAAAATTAAAATCTTAAAATTATTATTGATATAAATTAGTTTGCAACACCAATTTTTGACAACTTTAACAAACTTAGTATTATGATGAAACACAAAATCCAATAATCATAGGTACTTGAAATTTTAAAAATATTTTAAGAGCTATTTATAAACATTTGATATTTTTGTTCAACAAGGTTCCTCACAAGTAGTTCATCATATTATAACCCAAAACAGTTTTTTTATAGAAGTATTTAAGTTGAAATTTAAAAGATTGTATAGTAAAGAAAAACGATTTTAATTATTTTTCTGAATTTTAAAATTTTATTTGTCGGCATTTGAAACTATTAACTTTTATACACACAGTGAAATTTTATCAACCAACCGTATTCCTAACATCTAAATAAATTGCTTTAATCGCAATATAAATATATCAAAAATATACTTAGAAATCTGGTGTGTGACAAGGCATCTTTGTTCAGAATTGTTTTACTATGGAACAATTGGTCATTGAGTTCAAATTTAACACATATATCATACATTGTAGTGACTTAGTCGATGACGAGGTACACTTGACACCTACTGCACAGCAGAATGATAACCTGCGTTTCCACTTTTTTTATTGTTAGAAAATTAATAAAAATTCTATCGAACACACTTAGTCATAATATTGTAAATTTGTGAAAATAAACCTTTTAATCTCTATCCATAGTTTTATTTCAAGCAGTAAAATAACTGGCCAGTGAACATCATAAAACTTTAATACTTAAGTATATAACAAAAAAGATACCTCACAAATGACTATCTTTTTTAAGGATGATCTATTGCAATCAGCAGTACATATTTAATTTTAATTTTATATTTACCTTCTCGTTAAGTTAAATAGGTAGGTATTGATATAAAAAAACTTTATTTTAGATGAATTCACCATTTAACATTGAAACTCAATAAATTAATGTGTTTATTGTTTCACAACTTGGTAAATTAATACTATCATAATAAATGTGTATGCAAAAATATTTTGACATGTATCTGTAATTATTTGGTGCTGTAAAAGATTTCTTCAAATTTGCTACTAATAAAAATAATTGATAATTGATTCTGAAATATGTTATATAATAAACTTAATACTGGGTGGCACATATTTGATTTAAGATACTCATTATTTCAATAACTGTTAACATTTTTGAAAGGTTTTTTTTTACATAATCAATAAAAATAGTTTTATTTAATGATGACAATATACAATTTAAATTCCTTATTCCAAAGTAAAATAGGATTTGAGTGTTCTGATATAAAAAAAATTGAATTTTGGATGTTTAGTTTATTAGTTAAGTATTGACAGTTTAGATGAATGGTGCCCGCACAGTAGAGTCCTACAGGGTTAACCCACAACATTTTTGCTTACTACTTCACTTATCTAAACTTCAAATAATTTTCTGCCTTCCAATATGAAATAAAAACAGTTAATTTGTAACAGCATAAGATTATGTAAAAAAAAATTGAGTTTTCTGAAATAATGAGTGTCTTATGTTTTAGCTAAATGAATCATCACCGTGTATTATACTAACATCCAGATTTCAGACAACATTTATTAGGAAATTATGTTCCTGGAATATTTTGGAAACTTAATCAAATACTATTAGCCAAGTATAGGATAAAATTATTTTAAACATTAAGTTTTTAAGTTAAAATAATAATAAACACTGATGAAATACTAAATAGAAACGTGTAATTATTCTAAGATTCAAACATTAACAATGTATAAGCTTTCTCTGTCTCTCAAAAATACATTTAAATACCTAAAATACCCAAAAAATGTATATCTATAACATTAACATACTCAACAAAATTACACAAGTAAAAAAATAAACTTTTCGAAAAATTACAAAAATTAACTTTTGTACTTCCTAAGTATCTAAACACATTCTTTAGTTAAACAAACTTAAATAAAATGTTAACAAAATTATTTAATTCATGTTAACAAAAAAAAATATGATGAACACAAAAATAATAAAATTAAAACAAATAAAAGGAATGCCATACACGTTGGTATTAATATTATCAAGATAATAAACAAAAAAATTGCATTAAGTACTTATATAAATTATTATTGTCAAGACTAGAAATTGTTTGATTTATCCTTGTTCATTTCTGTCACGTTATTCTTGAGATAAGTTGAATAATAAATATTATTAATAATAAAATAAACTCAAAAATAACAAAATAAAATAAATTATTTCATTTTGTTATTTAGTTGGAGTATTTGAAACTGTGATTACTACTTGGTAACCAAAATATATCTTTTGTGCTCAAAAGTAATGAATACATTGGCACCTACATTTTAAATAAATGTATAGTTTTATTATTTAAATAGAAATTGTTAAATAATTTGTTCGTTCCTTAATCTCAAAAATAATTCACTTTTAGTCAAACAACTTAAAGCTTGTGTATAAGTGAAGTGCACATTCAAGCGTGTTGTTCAGATTATTTTGAAATTAATATCATCAGCTGATAACTGTTGGTCATTTTGGATTAAACATCACATCAAGACAACTCTCCGATTGGAGTGTTTCGCATCCATAGTTCATGCATAAACTCATATAGATCATCTGACACGGATACCTATTTTTTTTTAAATAAATATATTAGAAATTTAAATATTCAAAGTATAATTTTAGAAAAATACTTACTTTATAAGGAGTAGGATTCAGATTTCTTTTAATGTCAGGGCGTATTGTTCTTAAAGATTCTTTGACATGTTCTCGGACTTCTTTTAAATCTGGGAGTCGTTGCATTATATGTCCATTGTCCCAATAAACCTAGATGTATACAATTAATCAATACAAATAAGTAAGTATACATTTGTATAATATGTTATTATTATGACAATGAATCTAAGTTTTACTTTATATAAAGGTTTTATTTCTGATGGTACAACAAAAGCTCGTTTCTTTTGATCAAATGGATGTCTGCAAAGAAGTTTTGTTTTGGCTATTGGTGGATCTTCGACAGACTTTTTCAACAAGTCTATCAAGGCAAATCCTAAGAATGATTAAAATATAATTAAATCATGTTTACATCATTCAAACGTACAATTCTTAATTTACTTACCATCGGCACCATACAGCCGAAAAGCATCCTTTTTACCAGGCATTGTAATTTTACTACCATCTTGACTTAATTTAATTCGTGGTGTGCCATTTATTTCGACTAATTTATATACACAACCCAGAGCTGGTTGCCTTTGGCAGGTAACTTAATTCAAAAAATTTGGTGAATTACTATTTGAAATATCATAAAATATATTTCTAATTTACCTAAATGTGTTCCGATTCCAAAACAGTCAATACTATGCTTTTGATCATTTAAACTCCAAATAGTTTCTTCATTGATATCATTTGATGCGATTATAGTTAAATTAGCAAACCAAGGTATATTATACCTATAAAATTTAAATATTAGAATTTATTTTTTAAATTTTCTTTCTTTTTTAAATTAAATAATTTACTTACTCTTTTGCAACTTTAACAAAAGTTTCACGAGATTTGTTCGACAAATAGGCTAAATCACCACTATCAATTCTAACACCAATAGCTTTGTATCCAAGATCATTTAATGCCAAGGCTACAGCACAAAAGTTCAAAATTCCGCTTCTAAAATGAGAAAAAGAACTTAAAACACCACAAATGTATGAACTATAATATTTATTAATATCTAATTCTAAAGACTATAACTATATATTCGAATAGTTATTATATTTAACCGGTGCGAACCATTGAACCTAATCAAGCATGCGTTTATGACCAAAAATGATTTGTGGATTTTTACATGCTGTAAATGTAAAAATTGTAATGGATATAAGTGAAGTATAGATATGGAATATAATTTTAATATTATTATTATATTTAGAGTTAACAAACACAAAAAAGCAATCAGCGATTCTCCCAAGGTCAAACACATGCGAATAATGGATAATGGGAATTCTTACCCAAAACTTGAAATGACAGGTAGTTCTTTTGGTCCTAAGAAATGCCACCTGTAATATTTAGAACAGAAAAAAAACTGACTAATTTTTGTAGGTTTGATTTTTTTATGATTGTGATAAAATTTTGATAATTTTAAAGGAAGAGGAAATTTGAAATTTGCTGAAATGCTCAATGATTAACTTTTTCATGTACATCCTAAAAATTCTAACATGTAAACTAAATTTCTCTAACATTATAATATTTCCCATGTAACCAAGAATTTCAAACCATTTATTTTATTTGAACACAGTCATTATTTTTTTGTAATTATTTAAAAATCTAACTTTTGGAATATTTAAGAGCTTTAACCATATTACTTTAAAAATTCACTTAATAGAAACAGAAATAAACATGCCATCAACTTGAATATGAAAACATAAAAGCACAAACAAAAATATTAGCTGAAGTTAAGATTGTTATAAAATATGTAATACATACTATACTGATTACTGAGTATACTGGTATTATATATATTATACATATATGTTAATTATCAATCGTAAAAAATACTAATTTACAGTATTTGCATACCCTTAAGTATCCCAAAAGTTGCAATTAAAGCGAAAAATCAAAATAAACTGGCTATGGTCTATTAGATGAACCACCTAATATCATACATTAGGTGAATCACCTAATATTTATTGTAAAAATCACAATAACTCACTTATTTACATCATAAGTGTCTATGAGTGCTACAAAACCTTCTGGAAAAGCAATTGCAAATGAGACAAGAGCAGCTAGTTCTCCATCAGAAGCTTGGCTTTCAGATATGTGTAAAAGATTTGACAATGTAGTACGCCATGATAAAGTCAAATCAATCAAATCTTGTTCTTTGCCATTATTCAAATTAATTAGAGTCTATAAAAAAAAACAGAACATAATATGTATAATAAATAAGGATATTACACTTAAAATATTTAGTTAAAATTGTTTTCCCATATGTAGAAAATGAAAATTATATTTAGACCGAGTAAAATACTGTTTACGGTAACTGCAGCGCTTAAAAAAGTTTCATGAGATAAGCTACTTTAAAAATAAAAACTTTAGATAATATGATAAATTGATCATTTATTTATCTCCTCAAAGCATATTTAAAAGTATAAAGAAAAAAAACAAATAGCAACTGTCAACATTTTTTTAAGAAGTTTAAGACAATTGGTTTTTGATCTAACAGATAGTTATAAAATAGAAAAATTGAAAAATATAAAAACTAAATTATAAAATACTTAATTTCCCATTTTTTTATTTTTTTATTTAACTAATTCACTGCGATGATGTCATAGAAGAAGATACTTTATTTTTTAGTTAACCTTTAATAAAAGTTTAACTATTTTTTTTTAATATTTAAAAACTACATTTTAGAACCATATTAAAAATAGGTAGAGTTTTAACAACTTAAGCTATATTTTAGTACCTTGGTTTTCAATTCACTAGGATTAGAAAATGATGTTATATATGCGTGAGCATGAGTTCCTTTAACTGGTATATTGAACATTTTTCCAGCAAGTAAATTACTTGTTCCATCAAATCCTCCTAAAGAATAAAAGTATAAAAAATTACGTAACATTTATGATATTATATAATATTCAATTATTATTTTAATTTTTAATAAGATTATAATATAAATAACAGAACCAGGAAACTCGCTCTGCTATATTAGGTACCTCGTCGTTAAGTAGTAATGGATAAGTCAAATTTGAATTTAGTAATTAATCAGTTACAAAAAACAATTCTGATCAGAAGAGATCATTGTCTATTTCTAAGAATAGTTTATATTATTTTTCAAATTTTCTTAGTATGTTGATCTAAATTTTTGCATAACATTGCAAAAACTTGTAAGTCAATATTTGATTATATCTAATTCGTACGTCAAATACAAGAAAATGATGCCAGTAGATGTATTGCCCAAAATAAATGTAAAAATGAGATAACAATTTTCAAGTTTCTTCGATTATTCCATTAGAAATTAAACAAATTATAAAACACACACGGGATTGAATTATAATTCCTGTTTTTTTTTTTTTGTTTTTTTTTTCCCCCAATTATTATGAATAGTACTAAAAAAGGTTATACCAGAAACTACCCTCATTAATGAATATTGGAACAAATCTGCTCCAAAACAATGACTGACAAAAAAAACCTCATAAATGTTAAATCATCAACACATTCATTGGTAATCTCAAAATGTAGTACTCTCTAAAAAATTACTAATTTGATAAAATTAAAAGTTAAGTCAAAATACAAGTTGGGATTGTTTTGCTTTCAAGACACATAAAGAATTTCGAATTTAATCAACAGCCTAAAACATTAACCATAATTATAACAATAACAATAAAATACACAATATTTTATTTTTACAATTTTAGATTCAAACAATTTATGGCAATATCATTTTAAAATGTCTTGTATTTCAGCTAGTAGCTTTATAGTTAAGATTAATATTTAAATACTAGGTTAGGTATCTAACTTAGATAAACCATCAATTTTCAAAATTGTTGATCATTAATTTTTATAAGTAACTTTAAAATAATACTCCTATAAACATTAAGCATACTGCTATACATATTTTATTGGTATCATTATTATTTACTTATAATTATATAGTAAAAAAATAGGTCATTATTAGTTACTTCATTTGTATTGTTATCCAGGATTTCCAACATTAAATAGTCAAAACAGTTTACAAATTTACAATGGGTAATTAAGTATTTTATGAGAAATTTTTAGTATATTATCAGAATTACTATTACAGCAACTGTATAAATTAAATAATGTTCATTTCAAGACCACAAAACAAGCAACACCTTACCATGAAAATTTAAGAAAATATGAATACGCAAAATTAACTTTAGTTGAAAATTAATAATATTAATATTACATAAATAATATTTGTATTATGTATTTTATTAAAAAAATCAAAATTATTACTTCTGCGGCAGATTTGTTGATGTTTATTATTTTTATTTATGAATATTAGGATGCACAACGCACATACAATATTAAACAACTGATACTATTTATGTATGCAATAAAATTCAATGAAAAATGTAGCACAATATAAAGATCAAGTATTAGGCAATTGTCTTATTTGGCTCATCTCAAAGTAAATAGTAGTATGTTTATGTTGAGATGCATACAAAAAAACACAAAAAATGAAATGCATTTAAAATATTTTAAAATAACTGAGGAATTCAAAAAAATTATATTCTATTATTCTATCATACTAAGTGTTTCAACAATTACAAAAAAAAAGTTTTATAACATTGTTGTAATATTATGGCATTAGCTTAATGCTAGAATTAAGAAGACTTTAAGATGATTATTTATTAATCTAATTGTCATACAAAGTAATCATCAATAAAAACACTGGCAATCATTCAATAAATGTTCTTTGTGATACAACAAAAGAATTAGTTTAATTTTAATTGGAATGTTATGTAACTAATTTCTTTTATTTTATTTCAATTGAATATTAGTTAATTCATAGATAAAAGCAAATTTCAAAACTATAGTATTATAATTTTGTTTTGTAGCTATTCTGATTATTATTTGATATTACAAAAACACAAACTTTAGTATGAATCTAAACATTTAGGAGTCTTACTACCCCAACTATATACTTGAAAAATATAATAAAAAAATTATACAATTATTATTATTGCTACAAAAAGATTTATAAGCTCAAAAAGTAATTTATAACCTGTCAGAAAATTAAAATTAAAGTTTATTAAAAATCTATTGTAAGTCATTTACTTAGGTATTCGTGATAAAATTACACAAAACAAAAAAGTTTGAGTTCAAGTTTAGTGTTGATTACTGGTGAGTAATAAAACACTATCTAGTCATAATTCACTTGGTACCAGTCACGGCCTGACATTGCTTGTATTGCAATCAATAACCAAGTTCAACCAGTACCCAGCACACTAACAAATTGTGATTGTAATAATTGATAATGCATGACTATTTTTTGTTATTCAAGTTAAAATTACATACCAATGTATGCATACTTAGAAGCAGACAAACCGCCATCAGGACCTTGGGCTCGCCTTAAACCAAATTCTAATAGTGATACATTATCACCTGCTGCCATTCTGTATCGAGCTGCGTTTGTTGCCATTAAACTAAACAAATTTTAAAAATATTATAAAATGCTAAATTTATATATTTTATTAATAGTCAATACCTAGAGAAGTTGACCAACGTTAATAAAGTTGTTTCTAGAAGTTGAACAACAATTAAAGGTCCTTCGACTCGAATTAAAGGCACTCTGAAAATAAAATACTAATTAAATACTAATTAAACATACAAAAACAGATTTAAACAATATCTAAAATTAAATTTTAAAGAGACCAATACAAATGTAATAATAACTATAATGTAAAGTAGTAAGTACAACTTTAAAGTAATTGCATTGATACAGAAGTGTTTTGATTCTATTCAATGGTTAACTTCTACCAAATAATATAGATGACATAAGTGTTGTGATTGGATTTAAGAAAAGTAATTCTATAAAACAATGACCACAATTAAATAGTTCTCAGAATCAAAGAAAAGTAAAAAAATACCCAAAAGAATCTTTTTAGAAAAAAAGTTTTAAGTCACAAGAAAATGAATCATATCAAAACTTGAAATGCTTATTTAGTATTTTGACACCAATGACCCAAATTAATATTAAACAATTTAATAGGTGACTATACTACTACAACACAATAATAATTTATTATTTACATAACTAAAACCTGTTTAATCTTAACAGTGCTAATAAACACTTGAGTAATAAATACCATTTACATTTTCTTTTCAATTACCTTGGGAACACAACTGAACCTTCATCAATAGCATATAGTTTTACATCTTTAGCTGTCAATTCCTTTAAATATCCAAAAAACGACTGCTCAATTGTAGGTGGTAATGTGGTTTTTAAATACTCAATATCTGAAAACACAAATAATATAGTTTTTCACAATTTCTCTTTTGATAAGTATAGTATTGCTATCAAATAAAAGTTATCTAAAAAACAATTTATACAAGATAATTATTATATTATTGGCCAGAAGTTATTGGCAAGAATATTAAACAACGATTTAACCCATCTTGAGATGTAAACTTTAATATTAAAGTGAATTAACCACCAATATAAAACTAATAATAAATATTATTGAATTTTCTGGGATATATGAACATTATTTAATTGTAATATTTTAATACTCCTAACTTGCATGAAAATTGAAATATTATAAACAAGTCATCATACAAACACAAATAATGTTTTTAACTTTAATTTTGATAATAGGTAGATTATTTTCAATTCACTCATATAGTAAACCTATCAACATAAGATTGGTTCAGCAAAACGCAAATTTCCAATGTTCAGCATAGGTCAGAGAGAAAACAAATAGTACACTGACATTATTTAAGTAAATATGTTTAGGATTTATTCAGTAGAAATAAAATTGTTTAAATTAATATTTCTTAATTTAAGCTTTCTATTTATACAATTTTCAAATTATTTACTATATCATTTTGTCCAAGCTAAAACCAGACCTATCCCAAGACATCTTCCTTAAAGATAAACCAGACAACTAACCAAGAAAATTATTTTTCTTTTCTTTGTTTAACCATGATTATATGTATTCACAGTAAATTTATAACTTAGTAAAAACATTGGGAATGTTGAGAAAATTAATTAATTAAATAATAATAATAAAATCATTGTACGCGGACACCATACTTTTTTGGTGCACCAAGGAAACAAAAGTTCTAAACATTTTACATTATTTTATGCGAATAAAGATTAGATATGAAATATTATAATCTATTTAACAAATCAAAATCTCATGCCCAAGAACATGATTATTTATATTTTTCTTATCTTACTCTAAATATAAGACAAACAAATAGAATATCACTTTATTTTATAAAACAAAATTGTAAATAAATAAATACAACTAACATCTGTGGATAAAATAGAAGAAAGTTAAGTAGAGTTCAAAAAACAAAGAAATAAAATTGTCTATATCAACCTAATAAAATAGATCATATTAAATGATCATTAGGTGCAAAAATATATTAGGTACTTATTCAATTAGATATGACGTTCATTAATTTTAGTAATTAATATTTAATTGTACTTCTTATTTATTGTTATTAAGATCAATAAATACAAAACAATAAGTATTATCCAAAGATTGTGCAAAATATCTTATAATACTTCAACATTAACAATATTTTATCAAATATTTGATTTTGTAAATAATCCGCTCATCATTTTTTATACACATTATAAACTTTTATCTATTTGAAACATTATTCAGAAGTAACGTGTCATTTCAATGCCTATCAAAAAGCTACATAATATGTAATCATTGAATTTTTTTATTTTAGTAACACTATATTTTGTTCATAGGTACCTCCTAACAACCTAGTTTAATATTATGTAAGGATTATCAACAACAACAAAGTCCTCTATAAATTGTCATTGCCCTTATGTTTTTAATGATTACTTAAATAAGTATGGTATTTTAATTTAAAAATGTGCAGAACATTAATTGATGCAAATTTAGTTTTTGAATGTTATATTAAATTAATCTACATAGTAAGGAATTTTTTTTGTGAATTTAACATCATTATATGACTAACTTAATCTAGTCATATTATTGAAATTGTATAACTTATAGGATACAACATTGCAAAAAATGTGAGTAAAATCATTTACCAAACAGAAAAACTATAGGTAGTTAAAATATTATGATAAATATAATTTATAATTTAAAGATAAATTCAAATACCTATAAAATAATAGCTCAAAAAATCTAATTAGAATAAATGGTATTATCAGCAATCAGTACCCATCTGAATAAGCTATAAAACATTTTAAATCAAATAGATATTATAGTAGTAGCTGATATATAAATAGGTATTTAATTCAGCACTTATAATACCTAATTAATTATATAAATTATTAATTACCTTAACTATTTAATAGTTTTACTATTTGTACAGAAACAAGATTTTTATACTAAAATCTTCTAAACATATAGCATAACAGTTAAGTATGAATATGTATAATGTTGTAAATGTTTTTAATTTAACTACTTAGTCAAAAATTGTAATTATTCAGTCACATTTACATTTCTCAACTTTTACTTACCACAGTAAATATGTGTCCTACACTATTCCTATCACTATAAAGTATTTAGGTATGTTTCAAAATACAAATATGGACTTCAAATAACCAAAAAAATTATATTGGTATCTATGCATTTTTAAATGTATATTCTAAGTATGAATTAAACATCCACAATTTTTCAAAAAACTTACCACTGTCAGAATAATTGAAATTTTCCAAAAATCTTAAGCATTCCTCCAATCCACCAAATATGGTAAACTCGCCTTGAAATGGATTCTGACGAAAAAACAAATCAAATACAGCTGTATCAGATGTTTTTTCTGATTTCCAATATGCATAAGCCATTGTGATTTGATATAAATCTGGTAAACAATAAATAAAATTATCTTTATGAATAATAAATTCAGTAAAAAAATATTTATACTTATTATTAAAGCTTTAATTCTTTTTAGCCAAAAATAAAGCTTAAAGTAGTGAAAGTAGACTAGTGGTATAGAATATAATGTAAATTTCTCTTAAAGCGTATTGTTTAAGGTCAGTATATATTTACAAGGTCTCACTCTTAAGAGAATAAAAATGAAATCATTATTGAAAGCCAACTTTATATTTATTTTCAATTTAATACTAAACAATATTTATATAATATATGTATGAAACTGTGAATATAATTAACTGTAGATATGTCAACCAATATTATCATACAATTAAAATCGTTAAGCTACGAAATAAAATAAAAATATAAAGGTCTATTTTTTTTTGGTCAAATTATAAAATAGAAAGATTTATTTGAACAATATCTAATTTATAAAAATAACTTTATACTATAACTATACTTTATAATAAAGCATAATATACTAATAACTATAACTTAATGAAAACCTATTAAAGTTTGAAGGTAAATAATTTAAATTAAAACATTAACTGTACTTAACAACCTGTTTATTATTTCACTATGAATACATTATATAGTACTAAATCTATAATTAATCTTCTTTTATTTTCAACAAGTCTAAATAGGTGTTACAATAGTTTTAATCTTTGCACTTTGATATTGGTTAAAAAAAATTTAGGATAACTATTAAAAATATACAATATTATGAAACACGGACATAATTAATGGGTAGTAAAATAAAACGACCCGTTTGTAAGGTACCTGTGAGTAAAGGCTGCACAACGCAGTTGTGGACCTGAAGTCGTGTATGGACATTGTTGCTTTCGTCGATACTCATTTTACAAATGAGTATTGCAAATGTCTGAGGTGAACGATAGGTTTAAAATAATTTCTTTAGTTTCACCTTAAATAATAAATACATAACAAAAATTAGACATGCCGAAAATGACTAGGACATTACTGTGTAAATGGTGTTATTAAATACCTGTGCGTTTGTGCACACTTCCATTAACGAGAACAGTTAGAAAAAAATGTGAATCAACAAGAACGGACAACCGCGCTGGACGGCTAACACGGGACAACTGAATAGTGAATTCTGTTTATTCCGAAGCCTTAACCGTGAACATCACTCTGAACTGCCAAAGTCCACAACACGATTGCACTCATTTACATTATAGTCTATAGGTAGGTAGGTACGTTTTGTCAACACGCAAATTGTGTTCAATGTTCATTGCCCAGTAACCGCCATTGCCATTCGCCGCCACTCGTCACGAATGTTGAATGCACGATCTATTAGAATATTATTGCAGTAAATTTAGACTCGGTGAAATTTTAAAAGTAAAAACTGATAATTTCTGTTATTATTATTATTATTTTACCAGAATTCGGTCACATATTATTGTGCGCAGTAGCACAAATGCACAATCGTTGTGAATAATACGTGATATTATTGTCACAGAATGAGATTATTGTGGGTAATGGCTGGGCAAGTGGCAACAACTACTACAGCTTGCTGCTTCAGGCTCGGGGTTGATAAATGATAAGGATCTTATAATGTGGGACAATAATAATAATAATAATATTATGATGCGATAATGATACGCAAAATAAAAATTTACCATGGACATAAAGGTAAACATTATAAAACTGTTTTTTTTTACCATTATTCGACGTTCGGAAATCATGGCTGATGATGTATTCAAAGTCTATTAAAGACAATACCTATCATAAAATATACCTAAATGGACACCTAGTGGAAATTTGTTTAATATTATATCACATTGTTTTAAAATAATAAAAATATACCTAATACGTTGTGATAACAGGTATTATAGATGGATACTTAACTAATATATTAGACTAAACAGTAGCACATAATCAGGTATATAATATCATAGGTATAGGTACTTATAATCACTAGAATATTATCATTATATTATAGTTAAAAAGGTTAGGTAACATTTGTATATGACGTGAAAGATAATTCAGGTAATAAATAATAATCACCTTGACTTGACATTAAAAAAATTTTCAAAAAACAAAGTTATGGTGGTGTGTATTCGTTATCAATTGTGTATGACTTGTGTTTTGCTGTCTTTGAGTGTCTTGTACTCTTGTGTTAGTTGTACGTAACGTCTCGAGTACTAGAGTACATATCTAAAAAAGTAGGTAGGACAGGTACCTATAAATAAATAAAATAATTGTTTTGAAAGTCTTAAATATATAGGTGATTTTATTTTTGAACTGTTTGAAATATTTGTATAACACTTTTACTTTATAGCAACTTCGGTAGGTAGGCACTTTGTTGAATGCAATAATACATTAATTTATATTTTATTAATATTTGTAATTGCATTGATATGTAGGCAAATAATTCAAGGTAGGGACCCACCTTGGTATTACGCTATTACCAACCTAGTTATTTATTTATACTATACGTTGCTACTGCAATTAAGCTTGAAATACCAAGTGGCTACTGGCTAGTGATTAGTGGCCACTTGCAAGTTGCAGAGTCTCGACTATTCTGTTTAAAAAAAAAATCTTTTATGCAGGTATAACACTTTCTAATGTAACTAAATGACATACGACTATTATATAAGAAAATGAGTTTTCAAGAACTCAAATGTTTCTGAAGGGTATAATGGGTGGTAGAGTTAAATATTTCAAATAGTTAGATACCTACCAACTAACTACCCCGTGAAAACTGCAACCCCGGCACGGTGGCACCTAAAGCTGTTCACGAGTGGACTGGATTCCAGAAATTATGAATAAGTAGTATGTGCTCACAAGAAAGGACTTGAGGACAACTCCACCGTTATAGCATTATAAATAAGAATTTCTATTTTCTAACTTTCTATGGTTAGTCGTTATTGACTTAAAAGTGAGTTACAGTAATATATGTTATACTATTATAATAAATGTATCTAATGTTATAGGCAAAAATTAATTCAACGTAAAGGCAACCGTATTAGTGTATTACTAATATTAAAATAAATTACAAATCTATACTACTATATAAAATGAAGTCGCTTTCTTTTGTTCGGGATAAACTTCCCAACTATTTATTCAATCGAAGTGCAGTTTTTTTTTAATTAAAGAGGACATCTCTTCCCTGTGAAGAGAAGGTTTTAGGCATAAATTTAGACAATTTTAATTCAAAATGTTGTAATTGGGCGGCCATCAAAAAAAACAAAATTCAAAATAATTTTATCAGATTTTTATGCTATCAATGTTTTGTTTATAGAGCACCCCATTCTGATTATAATGTTACAATCCAGTTTTTTAATATGCAATCACTAGAACAAAGATTTATGCAAATTAAATCAAAATTTTTATTCAAATTATTAAATAATATGATTGATTGTCCGGAATTACTACAAAATATAAATTTTAAAATAAATTCAATAAACCACCGATCTGTAAATTTATTCTACATAAAACATTCAGCTACAAACTATATGCGAAATTCTCCATCAAATATTTTAATGTCCACAGGCAACTCTATAAAAAATATTGATTTTTTTGATAATTCTCTAAATACTTTTATGTCAAATGTTCTAAGAAATACATAACAAATTAGGTACTAGAAAAAAATTAATATCTCGTTTTTTTATTTCATTGTATTTTTTTATTATAGAAATTTAAATATTTAAATATTTATTGTATGATATTAATACCTATTTGCTCTTTAAATTTTAAGTTATTTTTATTATTATTATAATTATCATTGTTATTAAAATTATTGTTATATATAACTCATTTACTGTTAATGTACGTGTACAATATATTATATATATATATTATATTATGAAAAAAAAAAAAAAAAAAACTGTAATTGGAATTTATTTCCGTAATAAAGAAAAGAATAAAGAATAAAGAATATTATCTTATGGACCTCTTGAAACCTATACTGTACAGCAATCAGCAGATTTAGACTAAGAGCCTTACTACAGAGCCTACTTGATCGATTTTTTTCGTTGAATATTTAATATCATCAAAGCATGAACTTATAAGACTTAGGTACTATAAGAAGAACTTAGAAGGAATCATGGATGACTGTTTCAAGCTTTTCGGCAGATAAAAATTGTTTAATCGACATTTATGAAAAAATTCAAAATTTAAATCGTCTATAATTAGGACGGGCTCAAGCAAAAATAGTGCACGTTTAAGTTTTGAGAACTCTCAGCTGTTGCAGCAGTTACATGTAAACTGTAAAGTTAATAGAATAATCCTTAGTATTACATAAGTATTAGCCATTAGGGTAAAGTTATATCAACTTGTTTCTACATATGTACTCAAGAACTGATATAATAAATATTAAATGATACTGACATATATGTTATAGTTGATTAAAAACATTGGGCAATTAGTTTTATTAATGTGCATGAATTGCAGATAGTATTTTACTTACAAAAGAAATCAACTGAATTTCAATTTTCAACGATCTTCAGCCGTCAAGAATCGAGCACGTGTCAAGACGAAAATAAAAGATAGATACAAATTATACGAAAATATGATGTACAAAAATACAAAATGGTGCCGGTACGATTAAAATGTAAATCAAAACCGTAACATGATTTGACATGTCCAAACTGGAAAGCGAGTGAGTCCGATATCGCATCGGCAGTCCTCGCCGGACAAGTTTGAACTTTGAAAACTCTTTTGATATTCATCGTATCGGCCTTATACGAACATAATTGACACGACGTTATAAATATATAATTATGTATTTATAATTATTATATAATCATTTTTCAAGTATTTTATTGAATAGGTAAGTTGGTTTTCCTTTTCACGGATACATTTTTAAAAATATTTTTCTTATAAAATACCGATAGAAAAAAAAATATATGAGTCAATTTTGAAAATGCCGCCTCTCCTAAAGTGCCGCTCTAGGTGCCTAGATCAACTATACTTTTATCAGGTCCTGTCTATAATAATTTTTTAAGAGTTAAAAGTATCTAATACAAAGTCAAAATATTTTAAATATGCATTGTGTAGGTATTATAAAAATTAAAGTAATAATGGAAAATTTTAATTGTTGACGATAGCGTTTTTTTGAATAAAAAGTTGTAATTAATAACAAAATAACTAAACCCGTTTGATAAAAATCGTTATTTTATGTTAGAAATTTGAAATTTCCAATTTCGTCATCATATTTTGAACTTCAAACTTTGATAAAAAAAAATGTCACCCGTGTATTTTCAATTGTTTTTAAAAGCTTTAAGAGAAATGTATGACGTAGATATTAGTATATTACTTAGATATTAAAGCTATATAAGTATTAAAATTCAACATTTCATGAATTATTATTTATTAATTATATGGTATACAAAATATAATTTGAACATTACTATCGTATTTCTGACGAATTTACTAATTTCTTAGTATTTTTGTTTTATTGTAAAAATTAACTACAAATAATTGTAAATATAACGAATATTTATAATTTTTTTTAGCTATCATACAAATAAAATAGAATAAATTATAATCAAATATAGGTACACACATTTGCTAAAGTATTTCAATGGTTTATTAACAAATCCACTCATACTTACGTAACCTTGAATGTTCTTTAAAATATATTGATATAATATTATTGTTTATTGGCATGGAAACTATAGACAGTGTGTGCTTCCCCTTAGTTTGCTATCTAATTTATGTAGAGCAACATAAATCGAAAACTATGTTTAGCTGTGTGGATACAGAGGTATGTCCCAAAAAAAATTTGATCACAACTCCGACATGCTCATTTATACTTCTATATAGTTATACATTATAATTAACTAACTACCTACTGATTTAAAATCTGATTATTACGTATCAAAATTCTTAGAAAAATATTTGGCTTAGAAATATTAAATTAAGTACATATACCTACACCTACTATAATTTAAAAGGGTAAGACATTAATTAAACGATTAAAAAAAGTTGGGCATCCCTCTTTCTCTCTTTAAATGGATTTTTTCATACTTTAAGATTTACATACTATCATAATATGATACATTTGACACATTGAACGCGTTGTATACTTATAATATTTCTTATATTGAATAAATATAATACAATTATTAAAGATAATAAATTTGTGTGTTACTTAATCAAAACATTTTTTCAGGTGATTCAAAATAACTATTTTTTCTACGATATTATACTTAATTAATGTATAAAATATTATTATAAGCTTCCAAAACAAAGACAATAGTGTTTAATATTTGAGGTGTAAGCCCCCCCCCCCACCCACTTACCACATTAGACCTCCCTTATTTACGTCTTTGAGTA